GCTGAAGCCTTCAGGCCAAATTGTCTGGATTAATGTGATTTCCATAAATTGGTGATTGGAGCACTGACCTCATAAAGAGGTGTGTTTGGTTAGATGTTTCTTATTGGTTATGTAGCATGGTGCTGTGAAAGAGGTGTGTTTAGATGAGTTTTTCCTGTTAGCGATGTAATGTGGTTCTAGGCAGGAGTTTAATTATAGTTTTCTTGAGTACAGGGATCCATAGTTTACTGTATTTTCATTCCTTTGTTCACTTGAGGGTAAATTTTTAAATTTGAATATAAACTGATTCTTTGATTTTTCCATGTTTAGCTGTGTCAACATTTTCTTTGACTGTGTGGTGTGTACAGTTTTGTGAGCATTACTTGCTGTAGCAGAATTTGCCATGTGCAATACCATCAGTGCATTTCTTTTCTTCAGTTTCTATTCAGCTATTTTCCCTATTACTCCAATATAGAACTGTTCAAAAGAAGGAGGTACTTTGTAGATTAAATGTTTCTTTTGTAGTTTTTGACTTTTATGAATAATGTTTGAGCTTGAAGTCTTATTTTTAAGAAGGCTTGAATTTTGAACTTTAGCAAAAATTACTGATTTTAAAGCTGATTTTGGATTTTGTGGTTGTTGGATGTATAAGACTGTACAGTTTAAGAATTATTTTGTAGTTTATTTAGTGATTTAATGTTTAATGATTATTTAGTTTTCATAACAAGAGTGTTAAAATACTTATTTTAATGCTCTGGACACAACTGTGGTAACCAACAGTTATAGTGGTGACTTTGAAGTGAGTTTCACAGCTTGTATTGTAACAACAAAGATAAAGAAGAATTTGTCTTATCAATTGGGTTTTAAAGTAATTGAACCAGTCTGTGTGGGCTTTTGGTGAAAAAGAGAATTATTTAAAGCTCTGTATTCAACTGTGGTAACTCAACAGGGTGAACTTATCACTGGTTCAATTGTGATAAAAGAATAGAGAATAAATAATTCTTGGTGTCAAAGAATGTTCTAAAGTAATCGGAAATGCATCTGTGAACTTTGACAAAAAGGAGACAATTATTTAAAGCTCTGGATACAACTGTGATAGTCAACAGTGTAATGAATTTTTGAACATACATTTGGCTTGTTTTGAATATATTATTTTAAAACAAATGGATTGTGTACTGTCCATTTATCATCAGCAAATTACAGACACCTACTGTAAAGAATCCTGACCCTATCAAAACTTGACATTTGGCAAGCCACCCAGGAATATACAGAGGTAAACAGCAGTGTAGATGTGAACAACGCGGAAGTGGGTCTATATACACACAACTGTAGTGGTGTCAAAAATAGTTTAGATATTACAAGCACACTATATAAATATGTTGACTGATTTTGATAAGTGGATAGAGAGAGGAGTGACTTAGGTTAAAAGATGATCTATGAGAGTTTGTTAAATAACAAGAACTAGAGTGAGAAGAGAGGTAACAGAAGTGAGAGGAGGAGAGTCAGAGAAGAGAAGAAGAAAGACTCAAAAAAGAGAGAGAGAGAGAAAGGAGAGACTGGGAATAGAGAGAAAGAGAATAAGAGCACATATTGAGATTGCCAAGATCACTCGACAAAAAAAGGAAGGATCAAAGAATGACAATGGGTTCAGGGCTAGCTGACCCAAGCTACCCAAATTGGATGAACAGAAAGACAAGATGGATGCTTTCTTGGAGAATTATGAAAGATTTGGCCAAAGTCAGAAGTGAGACAAAGGCGACTGGGCAATCTGTCTCAGCCCACTTCTCACAGGAAAAGTTTTACAAGTGTATGCAGGCATGATGTTAAAAGTGGCCTAGTTGAAACATTATGAACTTACTGAAGAAGGTTTTTGGCAGAAATTCAGATAAGCCAAACCTGACACTAGAGAAACTGTATTTCAGCTTGTGGCACATCTATGGAGATATTTTACAAGATGAACTGACAAGAATCAACCCTCCTGTGTGGACTTTGGCAAAAAGGAGACAATTATCTAAAGCTCTTGATACAACTGTGATAACCAGAAGTGTAAAGAATTTTGTACACATACATTTGACTTGTTTTGAATATATTATTTTAAAACAAGTGGATTGTGTGCTCTCAGTTTATTGTTGAGATTTATTGCCAACAAGTCACAGATGCTTACTGTAAAGAATCCTGACCCTATAAAAACTTGACAGTGGTAAAATTCTTATAGTGGTGGTTGTGGGTTTGTGAGGGCTATGTGAAGTAATTTTGATTTAACTGACTGGTCTGTGAATCTATTGGTAGCTATTGGATTTTGATATTTGTTTGAGTGTTTTTCTTTTTCCATTTGAATATTGCTGCAGATTTTCATTGCTCTATTGTTGAGGTTCCTTATTAGACCTTGTTTTATTGCATGTGGATGATTAGACTTGAAGTTTAGATACCTGTTTGCAAGGGTTGGTTTTCTGTAGATGTCTGTGGTGAGATAATGATCTTGTCTGGTTACTGGTACAACTAGGAAGGAGTTGGTTTATGTTTGAACAGCAAACTTGATATTTAGGTTCATGGCATTGAGGTGTTTTAAGAATTCTGTTAGTGACAGTCCATAAAGTAAGTGACAAATATGTCATCCATGTAGGTATTCCCTAAATTTGATTTTTTGTTGCAGGCAGTTTTATATTTTAAGTGTTCCAGGAAATGTCACTTAGAACTGGTGATCTCATTGCTAAGACAGAAGCTAAAAATAAGTGTATGATGTGCAACATGTGATTAGTTTGAATAGCTAGTTGATGCTGAGGTTGAAATGGTAGGCTGTCTTTCTCTAGTGTTTTTCTGGTGATGTGTAGTACTTGTGATACTAGTATCAAGAGCAACATGTTGGTTATGTTGAAGCAAACCAGTAGATCTTTAGATTAATGATTAGTTTTTAAATAATTAAACGAAGTATTTGTTGTGAAACTTAAAAGTTGTTTATTGTCACATATACAGTTAACCTGGTGAAATGTTGTAACCATAAATATTATACTCTGTATATCAGACAATAAACAATTTTTAAGGTTTTAGCTTTTATTGGTTCATGAATTTGTCTGATTTGATGACTTGAAATTTTTGCATGCTATTTTATTTAGGTTTAAGATGGGAACTAAGTATCTTGGTAGTTCTTGACAGGATGATTGTATTGGTTATTTTTAATGATTTTTGTACCCTTCTGTTTACACTAACTGTCACATTAGAATTCTAAAGAATGTATAGTGTTTAAGGCTATTTTTTTTTATTTGTTTGTTTTTTAATTTAGGCATTTGTATTATTCACTAGAGAGAGAGAGAGCATTGCTGTGACATAATGAATTTGGAAAATGATTTGAAATTATATAAAATGTGTGTTGAGACTAGTTGGGTAGATTGTTGATTGATTGTAATGGTCTAAAATGAACATTCCACAATAACAACACTTGGAAATAAATTCAACACTTACCAAAATACAGTTAAAAACAAGTGCCTGGCCAGGACTTCACACCAGTATTAATAAACAATTTATCATAAATATTAATAAATCGGTAATAATGGAATAAGGAAAAAGAATCAGAAAGAAAAAATATAATTCCCCCCAAATAATACAGCAAATACAATATTCTAAAAATTCCTTTCAATATCTATAAGAATATCAAGTGATAAACAACAATAATTCACAGTCTTATGACTCTCTCTCTCTCTCTCTCCTAATGAAGCTTCTGGCAGAGTATTTATTCACATAGTAGGTCCCAAGAGTACAAACTCGTAGTGATCATAAGTTTATATATTCTTCTGCTGTATTAATAGTATTTGTATGTCACTGCTGTTGTCAGTTTCATCATATACACATATTTACTCAAAATAGAAGTAATTATCTAGAGGATGAGTTAGTGTTTTAATGCAACTAAAAATTCATAGATAAACTAAACAGTAGAATGAAATAATACATGAATGATAAATGCAACCATAAAAAAAAATGAATTTGATATCTCACATGATTATTAAGTCAGCCAGTTAGTTGAGCACTAAAAATTGAATGTTTTTCAACAAAGATACTGGTGATAGAGAAAAGTTAGCACTGTTATAGCAATATTAATTATGGTGAACTTGGGCCTTTTGCTTGGCAAACTGGTGGAACATATGTTAAAAAAATAAAATGACTTCCTTTTCATTAAGTGAACTGGAATTTGCACTAAGTTAATTACTAATTAATTTACCAATTATTAATCCAAAAGAACCTGTGCAAAAATATATACCATTACAATAACAGTTTGTGCCTTATGTAAAAATTCTGTTTTATGTGTGTGTGTGTGTGTTTAAACAGGCTATTTTAAAAATATATATTTTTTTTTTGTTCTTCAGTATTGTGTAAGTTCCTGTTTATCTTCCAAGTGTGAGCAAACATGTTGATCTTAACATATGATTTGATTATTTTCCAGTAAATGTTTTTAAACATTGAAATAACTAATGTTTTTGCGAATTTGTTGCTGATATTTTTATAAAGATAAAGATTAATATGCTTTAAATGAGGTGTTAGAAGAAAGTTTCATTTGTGAAGTTTCATCTATGTATATTTCATACAGATTATAAACAAACTCTTCACATTCTGTTAGGTCTGTTTAAGAAAAAAAAAGTCACTTAAGGGTGTTATGATTTTGATTTCTTCTTCCAAAAAGTGTACTCAGAACTGTGCTGTTTCAAAGCAGTTAACATATATGGAATTCAGGCTGTTAAAATATGTCTTGTGTGTTTCATATTTTACCGTTCAGTATATATAAATAGTGCTTGTTTATTAAAAGTTGTGTTATGTATTATGCCTTCTGTTTCAGTAGTTCCAACATTAACTGTACCCTTGAATAAGATGTTATACCAGTCAGTGGATCTTAAAACATTTTTTTTACTTTTAGTGTTCTTTTTTTTTTATAATATATTCTTTAAGTCTTTTATTAACATTTTAAGTAAGCAGTTTTTAATTTAAGTATTTCTGTATTCAATTTATCTTAATGTGTAACATTTTGTGTTTAGGAGAAATATAAACGAATGGCAGAAGAGGCCAAAAAACTCCCACCTGAGACAAATGGAGTGAAAGGGTTAGTAGTTTAAACTAAATGTATTTTTAGTACTTTATGTTTTAATAAGAATAAAAAGATATATAATTTTTTTTAATTTACTTGTGGTCTTTTTGAGACTATATTTTCAGTAAC